GAATGTTTCGTCACAATTATCCTGTACATGTACTGTAAGCCAGGTCCGAGGTTGCATTTCTCTTACCGCTTGCACGTTATGTAGTTTCTGTTGTGCTGGATGTCGCCGTGACTCCGCGGCAACTTCTCCTGCACCGTTATATTACGGGCAAGTATGAGGAGAACTGCAGGCGTTTATTAACTGTTCAGCCACACTATGTGAAGCCAAACTTTTATTTGTGTTTTAGGAACGCGGTGTCTATAATATTAAACCCGTGACTCCTGTCGTCGCTTCCTGGTGGTTCCAAGAGATTCTGTGTGGTATTGATGCATAAAGCAGTCTGTTTGTTGGTTCTGTTTCCATTTCTCAATCACCATGCTACTCCAAGATGATAAACGGGAGAGAGATGTGACATAACATCGTTTCGTTTCCATAACGTGCATTTAATGATACGTGATTATAATTGAGTGTTCCTTTCTCACAGTGAAATTGTCTTGTTGTTATCTGAAACAGGTTCTCACGTCGGTGAGAATGTCATTTGTGGTCTTATAAATTCTAACGCCGTGATATATGCTAGAGTCCGGCAGTATTTTATGTATATTAAAATGTGTAAAAGTAAGTGTCAAACTTTATTACACGTAGTCAGAAGCCCGGTCTTGAAGCATGTGGTACATCATAATAATTAATACAGGCTTTATATAGAAATAGGAAGAGTTTATTAATATTTCCTATAAATAAATACAGCTATATACGATATGTCGATTGTGGGTTTTCGGATTTGACGCCATGTAGTATTGAAGGTGGTTACTAACGTTTCAGGGGAAAACTACTACACAAGCTAAAAATATATTGAAATGGTTCCAGCTCAATAAGGTCGCCATATTAATTGAACAGTGGCTTTTTTATGCTGCTGTTGATGGCTATATGAATCGAAACGTGTAGTGGAGTTTTCAGATGATAATCTCTACATGTTGTAATGGCGATTTTTTGTTTCATGTAATCAGAATGTGTTTAAACGAAACCTATGTTAACTTTCGTACACGTAAGCATTTGACTGATATATTTTCTCAGAAAGGCCTCTACAAGGATTTATTTTATCGCCATTCCATTTCTGCTTTGCTTTAGAATACGCTGTCATGAAGATCCTAGAAAACAGGGTTTCTAATTACATGGGACAAGCTGTTAGGTACATGTTGATAATTTATTTGGCGGATATATATCGTAAATAAAGCCTCAGAGTTGTATTAGATTCTGAATAGAGGATCCACTCGGAAGGCCTAGGCGTAGATAGTATAATATTAAACTGTACCTTATAGAAATATGATCGGAGAGTATGAACTGAATTCATTCGGCTAATGTTAGGAACTAGTTGCGGTCTCTTGTGAACAGGGTAATCAGCATTCTGGTTCCTTAAAATGGAAGGGAATTTGTTGGCTGGCTTAGCGTACCAACCTCTCACTTCACGTTATCTTTCCGTTACTTCTGTTCTTTTACGTGTGCCTAATCCATGCGGCCTGCAGCGATGCTCAGATACTAATAAGAGCCGTCTGTGAGTTTCTACTTCACCTTTGCACATGTAGTGCGATAGATTCAAATATATGAACGTGTAAGTACACGAAATATTTATATATAAATCTAAATATCGAGGAAAAGCTTTTCTTAATGTCTTGAGGACGGAAGTCATGATTTATTATATCGTATGCTGATAATTTATTAATAACGTTATACGTATCACTTATGGTATGTCTGTAAAATATGAAGTCTGTGTGAATTATTTAAATTGATTTTATCATGAACCTCTGAAGTAGTTACTATCATCCTCCGATTATAATAATAGTCCTTCTATTTGCACTCTTCTGGATTTATTACATCGGTACTAGTAATATTGTAATACAGGTGACTAAATTTTATGTATGTACTGGTAAGTGGGTTAATAATACCTGTGTTTTGAATGACGGTGTGTGTTAGGGACTGCAGCAACTGTTTTTGCAGTGCCAGACGCTTGAATTACTTTAGCACAAACGACTTTAATTGCTTCCGCGAGAATCTGTGTGACTATGAAAACTCTTCCATAAATGCACCGACAAGTCTTATGGCTAAAATATTGATTCAGTTACTTGAGTACGCCCATTTTCCGACTAGTTCTTTTTGAGATCATGACAATCGCTGCCCTTCCTCCACTCTGTTTCATCCGCTGATAGATACTCAGAAGTACGTCAAAAGAATTTGTTTGTGACTCGGTGATTGTGCAGTTAAGGATGTCAATTAATCAGGAGTTCTGAGTTAACACGTGCCTGGTCATTCGATACGAGTGCCCACATCGCAGTCCAGCGTGCAAATATCCGATATGAAATCTGATTCCTTCTCGGCTAATGGACTTGTTAGGAGCTTTCCCGACAGCATGGCGCCTACCGTTTTGAGGTGTCGCAACCCGTTGAGCAATCCTTGGGTTGAAATAGCTTTTTGTCCTCTAAGTAATTGCACCGCCGTTTGATCATAGACTTGCATTCTTTAATCATGTTGAAAGAGATTTCGTATTGCTGTCAACAAATTGTTCTGTCGTTTTTGTAGAGCTTCCTCGTCTGGGATGTTTGGATCACTTCCAAGGTTCTGTCTTTTTAAAGTACATGCTGAGGATTAAGATTTAATTTCCCTGCTACATTTTTTGTGAGAAAGTAAAAAAATTATAAGCTCGTGCTAGTAATGTCTAAACATGGTCGTTGGCCGGATTATTTTTCTGCCATCCGTGTTTTATCCGTACTTTGTAGATCCATTTTAGGAACATATTCTAATTATTTTGTTATCTGTGGTAGCTTTCATTTATAGCATTTAGGCTGCCTTCAAGAGCCAGAGTTTACTTTTTGATTCTTGAACTTGTAATAAAATACATTAAATTTATGATGAAACATCGTCGTTTTAAAGTGCAGGACCTCAGTGTTATGAGATTGAGTGCCTTATATGTTTGTTGAAGTACGAATGGCATTGAAACGAGTGGGTGTTGTAAAGGGAGCTGTAGAGTACAAATGCTTTATAATGCCAGTTTCTATAAATCAGTTTAAGTTTGCTTTCTCATGCATCTTTAGATATATACCACTTAAAGCATCTGCTAGATAAGCAAGGTGTTGTGGTACAGACCTTCGAGTGTCATTTGTATTTTGTTACGCAACTTAGGCTGATCTGTACTGGCGTAGTTAACTATACATTTGCAAAATTAACTAAACAGTGTGTATAAGGTAAGCGTCGCCTTTTATTAAGAATGCAGAACGCTAACGAGCGTCGTAGAGTTTAAATATTCTGCGTAACTTTCTTATACGCGTAACTTACGTTTCACTTGTTCAGTGCCCACCTTCCTTCACAGAAGTCTCTTTAAAATCGGCAGTCGTTGGCTGCCTTCTAGTCATGATTTGCCGAACTTGGCTTTTGAGTAATTAGCGTTCCGTCATATCCCGAAAGCCCCCGATTATCGTGTAAAATTTTATTTATAGTATTATTCTTTGGTTGTAGTTTTAATTAATTGTTTTTATATTAAATGTCTTTAGCTTTTTAGTCGCTTCTGTTTCCTATTTTGGTGGTTTTGGATTCAAACCTCGGGCCAATAACTATCTTGGCTAAAAAATTTTCGTAGTTGTCTTCAGTCTGTCCAGGCAAATGCCAAGATAATACCTCTGATTAAGTCATAATCGCCTCCTTTCATTTAGTTTTCAATTAATTTTTCATTAATCGTGTCGTTCGATACTATTTAATACTATTTAGTATCGTTAAATGGACCATAACGAAATTGAGTAATTAATGTCACAAAAATCAATTCAGTAATAAACTGAAAATTGTAAGTTCATTGTTCAGAGATCTGCTGACAGGCGGTAATGCAGAAGCATCCGTGTCTTTTGATTTTTAAACACGGCTAGAAATGATATCAGTATTAAGGTAGGAAGTATACGATTCATTTTATAATGCATAAACACTTCGGCATTACAAGAATTATGTTAACATTTTCATAATAAGACATCGAAGTAGGGCGGTTACTGATTTTCCGTCCCTCGAACATAGAGGTATATCTATGTAGTGCATCAAAGATGTGAGACATTTTCCTCTCCGGGCATTGCCGGAATTTTATGCATAATGGATTGCAGCTTAATCGCTCTTTGTGCGGCATTCCCGATGCAAAGGCATTTCCTAACCCCTTGCCCCGCGACCAGTATACGAATTGCTTCTTTACTTCATAGAATGTTAAGGGCCCTGCATGCCAGAGCTAGAAAACGTATTAATAAGATGCTTATGGGTCTGAGAGTATTTTGCTGCCATTAGAAGAAATCTGGTTGTTATGTGCCAACGCCACGTACTTTCCGAAAGAGTTTCGAGACAAGAAATATCAACCTCGCTCTTATCGACTTAAACAGTCCTCTTCGCCTCCACGCCATTGCCCTTGGTTATTACTGCGTGCCTTTGCGTTGCCTGAACTGCGGGGAGGAGTGTGAATTTATGTTGGTTCGGGGGAGACGATGCGTGAATTGGATGTGTATCCGGACATCGCCTAACGATTGTATTGATTTCACCAATTTCAAGCTTGTTCGTTGCGCAGAAATGTAGACATCGCCACAGAAAGTCTATGTTTATCGATGTAGGACATTTCTTCGTGTTCTCGAAATATAATTTTTTCTTCTAAATGATTGGTAAAGTTGAAATTAGTGTATATCTGATTAATCTATGTATGCAATTGTAACAGCTTGTAGGTTTATTGTGATTTTTTTGTATTTATAAGTTTTTTATTTTATTTTTTCTTTATTCACTGCTTTCATACTTCCACTTGTATAAATAATATAATTCTTCTTCGTTTTGGCAAACATGATTACGCGGAAAACACGCAAAACCGTACGAGGGCGCGTTGGCAAATTCTGACTATGTTCTTTGTTGTAAAGGAGAACAGCAAAGCCCTGTACACTGTCATTTAATGTCATCTGCGAAGTATGCCGATTTACAATTCGAAACGTTCCTTGTGTAAATGCAAGTGTTCTGTTCTGCAGGAGTTCGCGACGCTGACCAAGGAACTGAACCAGGCGCGGGAACACCTGCTGGAGCGGGAGGAGGAAATCGCAGAGCTCAAGGCAGAACGCAACAATACTCGGGTAAGTGGAAAGCAACGTCCTACCCGTCTCTGAGAAGAGAGAAAGCCTTTCAGTTGGTCAATAAATTTCCCACTAAAGTAACCTGAAGTTTCGTTGATGTATTCGCAAGAATCCGCAGCTGAACCGTGTACAAAGCCAGCCGAATGAAGTCTGTATCCTCACTTTTCTTCCTTAAGATCCATGTCCGTAGATCAGTTGATGGATCGAACCCTTTCTTCAGAAGCTTATAGTAGCTTAAGTATTCAAGAAATTGAAGATTTCTGTCTTCTGGGTTGTTGCGCTGTGTAGTCTGGTAGATGTTTATCAACGTTTCAGAGGTCATACTGCCTCCGTCATCAGGGCGATGAGGTTTTCACAGCGGTGAGTATGAAGATTTCTGTCTTCTGGGTTGTTGCGCCGTGTAGTATAGTAGATGTTTACCAACGTTTCAGAGGTCATACGATGACATTTATTCATTTTTAAATGTGAAACAATATGGCAGCGATTTTAAAATGTGTTATATTTTTCTGTGTGATAGTAATAAGTAATGAAACTTTGGGCCTAGGATTATGAAATTTGATGTAAGAAGTATTGTAAACATATGCATAAATTGTGTATGAACTATTGTTTAGTAGTAACAGTTACAAACGTTGGCAGGATTTGATTTTTTTAGGCTGGTACTAACAAACTTTGTGTATGTAAACAATAAGTTATTCGTGCATAAATAATAATAATAGGAGCTCTTACAAGCAACAAAAAGTACTAACTGGAATAGGAGTCAATTCTGTAATCATCTGAACACAGCCCAACGGTCTAACCTCTAGCGAAATTCTATTCTGTTCGACTTTTGTAGACTCCCAGTACCTAACTTATCAGCAGTACAAGATTTATAAGACTTCAATTCCCTGCATTAGACAATCTTGAGAAATTTGTTAAAGGTTTAAGGTTAGGACTGGAAATGTTTTAGTGTGTCGTTCCAGATAAAAGTGTTTCCCATATAAAATTTAACGGAAATGCATTCGATTTTGAAGATGGACGTACTGAATGGAAATACTCTATTCTACAAGTGCTGCTATCATTATGCAGCTGTTAGAAGGAGATAACACGAAATAAATTAAGTGAAAGTATAAGATATTGCGGTATGGCGGTAGTTATTCCCTTTTGCATTTTTGCGTGCCTTTTCCAACAGTAAAGAACAATAGGTCTATGATGTGAAGCTTTCACGGCGGCATTCATTAATAAAGTCTTCTCGTACTATCAGCCGTGTTAGATATTGATTAATCGCCGACGTTTCGAGGACCATCTCTCTTCATTTTCAAGGTTGTTTGCTGTGCAATAGGTCTGTTCCAAGCAATAGCACGATGCTGTCACGTTTTGTTGCATACGTCGGAACTAGATCTACAGCCCCTTGACTTTACATTTCTGTCCAAGAGACGGGTTTTGGTTGTCTGCGGAGTTTTCCTGATCACGTCAGTTTCGCCGTGACGTCACAAGGCGAGGCACTGCAGGAGGCAAGCCGCTAATTGGCAGAGATCTGTTCGATTGGATTTCAGACTGAACCCCTGCAGACGTCTAATTACGGTCAGCAGCTACCATGTTTGTTCAGGTTATTTGTAGGTTAGTGTGTGCGTGCGTGCATTGGTTTCCAAGCTTACAATTTGGACACTAGTTGGTCTTGATCTGGCTTTATTGAAACAGGAAACATGTTCGTTGGTCACCGCCTTCAGGACTTCATGGCCGCCACAACCCATAAAACCACAATCGACATCGCCTCAATGAGAATTTCAAATCTCAGACTCTTGAGACATTGTAATACTCACACCGTCTTCAAGTTTCTTGTGATTAGTGTTGTTAAGAGGGGCGGGGATTAGAGTAATAAAGTGATTGGCTAGACGATCAGGGTTGGATTTCCGACAGAGGTAAGAAATTTTGTGTTCGCCGCCGCTTTCATGTCGGCAGTCAGGTTTACCCAGCCCCGTTGGTACTGGCGACTTTTTCCACGGGTTTAAGGCGGCCGGCCCTTGAAGCTAACCACTTAATATCTAGCTCCGATTTTAGGAATATATGGAGCTGTACGTTCACTTCTCAACACTTTTTCGTGACGTGGCGCTTAAACACAAAGACAACTTCACTTTTGCGCCGTATTTGCAGATATTCAGCTGCAGGGCGTTTGATTTTCTTTGTAACCTTGTTATTAGCTGTAATTGTGTTCCAATTCGGTGATTTTAAAATCTCCCACTTTGGGAACTTTCCATTTGAGTGAGTGCTTTGTGTCATCCCTTAACCTGGTAGTTAATACGGCTCTAAACTCGTGTGGGACGCGTTGTTTCGATACATGATAAATTAGGTTTTACTACATGAGTCAATGTAAGAACATTGTTGTGTAAAGACGGCCATTTATGATATATGTAATTTCTTTCACGGCGTGCTGCTCCAATGCGCTCCTGTTGAAGCTTTCTTCCAGGTTAATGTGTGTTCCAATATTATATTTTGTAGCCTTCAGCTGTTACGTCAAGCATTCGCAAGTATTATGATTCCAGCGTCCGAAGGGACCGGACTAAATTCGCACTGACATGAAAACTCACTTTTCCTAAAATGTATTTTTTAGCGTCTCGTTTGATGGTCTATATATGCATATGAATGAAATGTGGGTCCCTGAACAGTCAGTATTAGGCGCATCTTGAAATCTGAAAGAGATCGAATGCGTTAGTGGAACGTATAATTTGATGATGAACTTTAACGTTCAAGCAGAAAACATGATATTTTACTTGGTTTATATTTCGGAATTATATTTATGCTGTTGTAAATAAATCGAGAAAGTTCAAATTGGTGTATTATTAGTACGAATTGGGATTATGAAACATTTAATTGCATTGAATTTAATTCAGAATGGAGCTCATGGATTGGCTGTGGTGATGACTATTAACTTATTATGTAACAGTTGGAAATTTATTGAGCAGCTTAATATGCACGCTTAGGAATTTTCCTGTCTGTAGTTGATTAATTAGTTACTTTGGTTACTTTGTTGGTAATGTCTGGGGTCCTCCGTTTGTCTCAAAATTTGAATTCGTGAACAACATATTTTTGTCCTATTCTGTTGTCTAAAAGGACACCGGTTTATGGTACGTACGTCTTTGGCCTCCCGCTAATAAATTTTGATCTAATTGTTCAGATCATCTTCCTGCTATCATATTTTCTCGGTTTTAAGACGTCATCGATTATAAGACGCACCTTTAATTTAGTAATAGTGTTTAAGGAAAATACGAATATTACAATAGAGACTGTCAATATTTAAACACAAAACTTTGTTGTACTAATATTTTCGAAATCTTCTTTGTTGCTGTCTTTGTGTTTAGTTTCCCATGACTAATGTTATGAAGATTTTCCTTGCGTGTTAGTCACACAGTATAATTTTCCTGCATCGATTATTAGACGCCACCAGATGTAAGACGCACTCCGATTTCAGAAATTTTAAAATCGAGGAAATGCGTATTTAATTCTCTGTCATCGATAATACCAACATCCTACCCATAGAAACGTCTCAGATGGGAGCGATACCAGAGCCCATAATGTGGGATTCTGAAGTGTTGTACTATAGAAGGGCGTAAAAAATATTCAGATGATGCTGCCATTCCTTTACGTATAGAAGCCAAACCTTGCATATAGTATATCATGCACGTACGAGGTGCGATCGGAAAGTTTCAAGACTGTGTCAATAGAGGGCGAACCAGATGTAGTACGAGCTTCTACCGCTAGGGGGTGCGGCCTACATTCATAGTGAATCAGTGTGCCAGCCGGCATCATCGAATTAGCATTTGTTTCTTAGTTACGGGCGTTTTGGTAGTGCATTACACCGACCCTCCTGCGATTTCGGAATGGCGGGTGCATCAAATTTTGCCAAAGACTCGCCAAAACGGCTACGGAAACCTATGAAATGCTAAAGCAAGCATTTGGGGAAATACTTCGAAATGGGTCGTGCACAAACTTTTGTGAGGCATTCGCGCCGCTGCCTAGCCTGGAAGCATCCCTGGAAATCTTTCTTTGTCAGCCTGTCAAGCACCCTCTGCGATTCTGCCTGAATCTCTTGCCAAAGACTTGCCAAAACGGCTACGGAAACCTATGAAATGCTAAAGCAAGCATTTGGGGAGTCCGCAATGGGTCGTGCACAAACTTTTGTGTGGCATTCACGTTTTAAAAATGGCCGAACCTCTGTCGATGATGACGAGCGTTCTGGACGACCATCTTCGAGCACAACGCCCGAAAATGTTAGGAAGATTCGGCAGGCCATTCACGAAGATCGACCATCGTCGTACCATCAACGACTTGTGCGACATTGTTGGGATAGGCTATGGGACCTGTCCGCTGATTCTAAAGGAAGAACTCCACATGCGACGCATCATGACAACGCACCAGCGCACACCGCCTTCAAAGTTCGGCAGTTTTTGGCCTCAAACACCATGGCCTTCATCCCGCACCCTCCTTATTCGCTGTGTGACTTCTTCCTCTTCCCAAAGATGAAATTCAGCTAAAGGGAAGGAGATTTGAGACGATAGAAGAGATTCAGGCAGAATCGCAGATGGTGCTTGACAGGCTGACAAAGAAAGATTTCCAGGGATGCTTCCAGATTTGGCAGCGGCGCTGGGATAGTTGTGTTCACTCCCAGGGGAACTACTTCGAGGGTGATGGATGAATTTAATACGTGAGATAAGTGTACGGGTTTTTATAGGCGCAGTCTCGAAACTTTCCGATCTCACCTCGTATGTGTGGTTGAATGAACTATCTAAAAAACCATTACAGCTAACAGGCTTCAATTGTGTCTTGTGATGGATAACAGCGTACTTACCAATTATGCAATACTTTTGTATCTTCAGATTTACCAACTCTGTTGCTGCTCGGTATTTTGAGGTTACGTAAATAGCTAGAGGTCATAATTTTTGAGGGCGTAATGAATTCAGAGATCCTGTATCTGCTAGACTACGAGATTTGAAGCGTTAAAATGAAAGTTGATGTCTGCGATGTTCCAGAGTTTCGTATTTACCATTTATCTAACTGTGTTGCCTGTCTCTTATTGTAAATTTCCTATAAATACGCCGCGCATCATTATATTAAATTATAAAAAAAAACCATGTCGTCATGTGACAGTAATTATAGAGCTCATCTGTCTCATATATCGCGTTAGCGCCATGGTACATGTCACCGTGCTTATGATATCAGTACTAATCGGTAATTATCTCGCTTGAATTGTTGAAGTAATGGATTTGGCAATGAAGGGGAAACTCGTGTGATTACGCGTTAATTTTGTCAGGTGTGGCGTTGCTGTAAAAGTAGTTCGGAGTTCATATTTGCTGAAGAAACAAGTGAGAAAATGTAGTGTAATGAATGGGTCAGCAGTTCTCAAGAGTACGATGTGATATCCGGCTTCGGTGAACTGAAGATGTTTATGCTTTCTGTTGCAGCTATGAAATTAAGTTACAAATTTGTCGATTAGCTTTTCAGCCCATTTTATCCACGAATCTCGATGTTACTTGGCTCTTTTGCCCAGTGGTTGCTATGGTGACCCTCATACACAGATTTCTCCTCCGAATCTTATGAATGACTTAGCGACAATTGCCAGATCGGAGCTCTACTGAAACGTCGAAAGATACCGAATATCAAAATTATCTTTACTAATAAACTCCATGGAGGAGAATCCTTGTGAAGATAAACAGTCACTCGGCTAGTAGGCAAATTCCCGGGCTTTTTTTCAAACCCGAAGGTACGTTACCGTCTTCACAAGAGCCCGCCTATCCCGAACCAGATTAACCCCGGCCACTCCTTTCTTCCATCTATCCCCGTTTATGAGTCTCGTCGCCTTGATGATGGAGGCAACAAGGACATTTGAAACCTTGTAAACTTCTACCAGATTCCATGAAATAATAATATATTGTCAAACTGCATACGTGTTTTGTGACTTAAAACACGTATTTGAAAATTTGTGCTATGCCTGAAAAGAATTACTGGAAATCATTTTCCGAAAATTATTTTAATGTTCTCACATTGCTCTGAATGTTTTCAAATAATTCAAAATGAGATTTTTGTTGGGGGAGCGTGACTATCACGTGGAAACAAACCAGGCAAGGAACGTTATGTTCCAGCACTGGTATTTGTTTTGGCTAGGAGTAGCGCTGTTAGAAATGCGGTGTGGGAAGGCGGAACGTTATCCTTTGGTATCAGAAAAGCAACCAGCTGGTTTTTACGACGGGGGCTTTGGGTATTTTCGTTGCAGAGGTTGGCCGTTTGTTCCGTTGTGGTACTGGAAGAGCCAAATCACATTACCAGTGACTAGTTTCTTTCCAGAAGCTCAACTTTTTTCAGTAGTCTTGCTAAACTGTCTGCACGGATGTCTTTTCTCAGAAACGAACCACTGCTTCAGTAGGCCGAGGCCTACTGCAACCAGTAAACAAACTGAATCCCCGTTACTGTTTTATACAAAACTACTGATTTATACAATCACGCGACACAGTTTTCTGTAACTTGCGTGTTTCGCCGCTTGCTACAAAAAAAACATAACTATATCATATTCTGTCTGTGTTTAAGTTATTTCTGTTATTAGTTTTACATTTCTGAGGCATTGCGCCAAGAAACTTTCTGGTGAACTGTAACAGTCGCTACCTCTTGCAGCTTCTGCTGGAACACTTGGAGTGTCTCGTGTCTCGCCACGAGCGGTCGCTGAGGATGACGGTTGTGAAGCGACAGGCGGCAGCTCAGTCCGGTGTCTCCAGTGAAGTCGAGGTGCTCAAGGCTCTCAAGAGCCTCTTCGAACACCACAAGGCGCTCGACGAGAAGGTAAGTCTTATTAATAGGTTCTGTAGTATCGGATTTGCAGCGATGTCGCCGCCTTCCTATTCCCATTTGCCATGTGGCTTGTCTCATTCTCCTCTAGTAGTCCTCAGGACGCCATGTTTTGGCCCGTATCATCTACCCAGTTTCTTCTCCGATGCCCATCCTTGGGCCTGTACGCGTTTTTCCCACCTCAGCTTTCTTTATCTGCCAGCTATCACCCCGCATTTGTCGCACGTGCCTTTTCTCCGTTTCTTCGTCACTTCTTTATACAATTTCTGTTTCTTGTGTAATGATCGTATTTCTAACCTTCTGTCTCTTAAATAACGGGCTGTTTGAAAATCAGTCATGTTTTGGTTCAGGTGAACTGCCATCAGGTGGACAGTTAATACATAAATTACGAGGCAAATGACCGTTCCACAATATACTAAATGTATTTTGTGGTGGATCATATTACTAAATTTACGTGATGAAATCATTATGTATCTTGCAACCTCCTTCATTGGCTACTCGAGATACATTTTATTGGGAGCGATTTTGTGGTGACTTCAGGCGCACTAGCTAACATGTAAATCATCATTATATCCCTATAAAAGCAGTGACGCGTCAGATTATATTTGCCAGGGTTTGGTGGTCTGTTCTTATTGGTTGCCCTAACTAAGGTAAGGTCTTTAAGTAATAAATGGATGTTTATGTTATCTTGATGTGGTTGTTCTATCGAATGATTTAAGTACTTAGACAAATTATGCCCAAAGTGCGAGACGTTTATGTAGCCCTTGTATACAGTATAAACTTCTCGTAGAGGACTCGTGAATGTTGCTGGCCGGCCTCGTGTTACAAACGGTTTGACAAAGACACGCCTATTGCTGGTTATTCACAATAAAGATTGGGATTTCTGGCTCATTAGTACATTTAAAATCTGTTGAGGCAATGTGTTGCCATTCTATAATGAATATTCAGTATTGTGTTGGCTAAGAAGGTGGTACAAACCTGTAAATTATCTTACCGTAATGCTAGGGGCCGTTATTACCTTTGTTATCATGTTTTGACTAAATCTTTCAGCACGACTGGATCACATCGGATATCTTTTCAAAAGACATTTATTTCAGTTTCTTTGGTAATTTATTTACGTGACAGGCTGGTGTAGCGGCAGTCATGTAGATGATATTTGAGAGTCGCCGACATTAATCTGATTGTTCCTCCGAACAAATGTGGGTTAGCACTGTCGAGTAAGCCACTACCACTTCCTTCGAAATTATTTCAGTTCACTAGTTGTGGTTATCTTCCGATTGTATATTTGTAATAGGCCTAGTAGCTTATAATAATCAAATAATCGATTGACAACGTTGTGCAGGCGGACTGTCAACCAAACGATCAACACACAACAGGATGGATCCCTTAAAACTAACCAATCTTTACATTTATGTTTCATATATCATATCGAGAAATAATCATTATGAAATGTCCTTAAGAGACGTGTGTTACTGTTTTTTGTGTGTGTATGTTTCCTTTTGTGGCGAATGAAATGTTAAAGAAATTTGCCTTCGTTATTCCCTCTGCTATAAAGACCGCCAAAATCGACTTTTTGATCCCTTCATTTTCAAAGCTTTATTTTGTATCTGGAGTGTAATCTACACTTAACTTGAGTGTTTCCTCGCTGTCGTTGGAGCAGATAAGTCATGGCCTCCGGCGATAGGACACTACTTGAAGGAGGACGTTGTAGGAGCTCCTCAGAGAATGTATACGTTCCATTACCTGGATCTAGCCGAGATAATGCAAGCACTACCAGTAAAATGATATATTTTTACTCTGCCCAGCTTTGAGGGTTTAAATCACAGGTTGGTTTAGAAGTCATGAAAGAGACGTGTTCAATTTCCTTTCTTCCGGTAATTTGTACCACCTGTGTGCTGCTATGACTGAGTCGCCAACAGTAGTGCTGTATTTTATCCAGCGCCAGTGACGCTTTGTCTGCAGCGGCATTGGCGGTTGTTTTCCTGGGCATAGTGGATCTTCCAAATTGAGTATTATTTCACACTCCGAAGTATGCAGATGTACAAGAAATGTTTCAGGGGAGATATATTTGGAATATGGTTCTGTCTCGTCGGCGTGTGGTGTCTCATTTTCTCTGAGGAAACAGTTGATGGTAACGCGAGCCTCCACAGGTATATCATTATCATCACACAGTTCATTGCACCCCTTCACGTGGATGAATGCGATTGTTATCTTTAGCAAGACGGAGCCACGCTCCACGTCTAATTTAACCAATACATTCTTGCGGGAGTTCTTCCGCGATCGTCTAATCTCCAAAGACTCAGGCCCCCAAGATCTCCAGTGTCCCCCCTCCCCGATTTCTTTCCCTGGGGCTACCATAAGGGAATGGTCTACAGGACAGGTACACACACTTGACGAATTTAAGACTGATATATAGAAGCTGCAGTTCCAAACAGTTGCAACGCTGCCGAAGTGTCTGCAAACATAGTCGAAAGAGCGCGTGCCTATATTCACGAACACACAACAAAGTTTCGACAAATGTCGTAACTGTGACGTGGTATCATTATTGTTAAGTGAGCCTTTTAAAGATTTAATATTTTGATTTACCCTGTTCCTTGTTCTGTTGACATTTATAAGGATATAAAACTATAAACTTTTTCTTGATTCAAAGTGATGACAGATCATTAATTGTGGAATTATAATATTCTTAAAATACCCGAGAATACACGTGTGTTGTATACGCTTATTGATTGATGTGTAAGGCGACTTTCGGGAATAAGACGCCTCGATTTCATTTCGCCACACATTCCCAGCGCTGAAAATGGAAATTGTAACGTGTGCTGAATTGTTGGCAGGCCTTCAACAGTTGACGCTGTTTGTCCCCGAAAGCCGAAGTTGCAGATACATTAAACTCCAGCTGCGGGTACCTGAAAACAAAAATGTATAGGGTGATTCCATATATTCTAAGTTTGCCTTACAGAATGGATTTTACAAACAGTTGGCTGTTCTGGTAGATAGCATCTTGCTTTGATCATTTGAAATCCTCACAGCGGAACCTTCTCAACTATGAAATTTGTACCATCTATCATGGTTCTGATTTCCTCATACGCTTGAACGTTTTCCCGTGGAACACAATTCTCTTAGAGAGGCGCTTTTCTCTCGCATCTCACCAATAATTGAATTAGCTGTCCCGTACTTGTGTTCTTTTCATCACTTCCGAAGAAGTTGGCCTTTCCACTGGCAATAATTCAATCTGCAGTGTGGGATTTTCTTTTACAGTTGTAAGTTTCGGATTTTGTAAAGAGTCGTGGAGACGACTGTGGGTGGATGTTTAGATGATTACTGCCTGCCGATATGACTTGTTTTTGTTGTGTCAAATGAACTGTGAATCAGTGTGTAATTAAAGTTTCGTGTTTAGAACGGGAAGCGTAAATATGTAAGTGTACCCCAACTTCGATAAACATATTTTCAGATTTTTTTGCGTTTTTCTAGGCTATGTTGTGTAGGCCGTGTTCATTTTTTGCACACTTATTGTTACAAATCTGTTTGTGTTACATGCAACAAATCATTTGTTATTGTTTCAAATAGGGCGAGTCTTAGTTTCATAACCCCTTTCCAGTACATTAATAAACATTTCGTATGTGTTGGATGAATGTGTTCGTTTGTGTTCTTGATTTTTATTTACGTGGAACATCTACATATATTTCAGTTAGAAAATGTTTATCTTCTAAGTTGAGATACATTTTAAAAGTATTCTATTTCCCTGCAATATTCCTCTCCATTTTGTGTTGTCATAGTCAGTAGCATAGTGTGCAGTGCAGTTCCTTTGTGATACCTGACTTTGACTATATTTCATATTCCTTAGTCTTTCCAGATAGCGTTCATGAAAGACATCTGTCAAAATATGCTGGTAATCTGAGTTTCAAATTGGTTACCTTTAAATACAAATATAGAACATTATGCTGTATGTGGTATAGGTAAGGAGTGTTGGATTTATTTCCATGTTTTAAGTGTATCAAGTTTATTGTATTCTACACTTGCTCTTCTGCAGGTGAGAGAGCGATTACGGGTGGCACTGGAAAGAGTAGCAACCTTAGAAGAGGACCTTACAACAACCAAAGATGAAGTGAGTTGATACTATTGGAATTTGTTGCCTTCTGGTTAGACGTTAGACACTTCATTATCGGAAGTTAAATGGTGAAGAAGAAAAACAACTAAAATCTACAAGAGCCTATCAGAAGTCCTGAGACTGGTCCCATAATGCACAAATTGCAAGTTCTTACACATTAATGGAATTTATTTCCTTGAAAGAAATCTCCAGGTACTGAGTATCCCAATATTAGTGATACTGCCACTTCTGGAAATGTACCTGAAAATATTTTTTTGGAACTGCCATGTTACTAAAGTGGACTTGCCTGTTAATACAGATCGAGGCAATACTTCTATTCCAGTCAGAAGTATTAAAAGCTGCTCCTTCCAATGTTTTGTTGCATGATCCAGGCATTTTATACTCCTGGGTTTATATTGTTAAGAGTAGCTTTGGAATTCATTCAGTTTTCAGACATTTTGGTGTTTTCTTATTATTGTATAGATATGTTATTTCCATATCTTTTGTAAATCTTATTAGCATTTATGAATTTATTAATATGACTTAAAAACGTGTTAAATTGCAAATATGTGTAATTATAGAAGTACAAAAAGGTGTGCCATTTGAAATTGAGTGTCAGAGGACCTGCATTAATTGTCTTTGCTACGTCTCATTCTAGATATCCTACAATTCTGACTCAGAGAAATTTACTTAATTTTAATCATAAGATTTTAAAAAGTACTTTATGGTGCCTCACTTTTACAAGGATTCTTTTTTCATTCAAGTTTTTTATGGTTTTACTTGATCCTGCCACAACAGTACAGTATTGTGCAATGACCTTGAAAACTTCCCTTACTGTTCCTTCTGACCCACCATTCATACCCGTCATCTGCAAATTGAGTATTACTACTGTCACTTTCATTTTTTGTTAACTGAAGAGATACTGAAATTATTCCACAGAATAACATTGTGCAAAGGTGTAGTGTAATAGAATACAGATATTTTCCAAATACAACATGGCTTGCAATTTTGTTTATCTCATTGGTATTGATGTTTGTTTCTTTGTTTCTTTGTTTGTTGGGAATACGCCTGTTGCAAACCTAATTGCAAATATTTCTTCACAGAGTTGGTAACTATGTCTCCATGTATTTCATTAAGATAGATCATGAACTCACGTACGCAATATGCATGAAATGTGGGTTGTAACTTAATACTTTAAAATGTGGCAATGGTGTGAAGATGATATCTGAATAGAGTTTGTGTACAAGTAATTACATCGGGCCCTGAATATGTTATCTTCTGAATCTGTGATTCACTGTTTTTGACACCATTATTTTTGGATCTATCATCATGTCTCCAGCTGTCTCACACATCATTGATTCCACTTTCTGTTGCTCAGCAGTTAGTAGTCATGATGATTAGCATTGTTATAGCATGGGAACACCTAGTAAGAGGTTCTCAAATGAGTTCTCTGCTGATTTAGTTTACTTTTGCAACAAACTCATTGCTCATTCTTCTAGCTTAATTGTATCTTGTAAGATCTTCTAATGTTTCTCTTTTGCGTGTTATTTTCATTAGACAAACTAGATGTATTTAAGCTATTAGAGTGATTAATTCAGTATATTCTTCATGTATCCAAACTTTCTTGAAATGAAATATGTTTATTTTTCATTAAATATATTTCTTTACTTACTTGTTGAACACCTGGCCTGTTCATGTCCACACTTTCATTGCACTCAGTAATTTAATTTTTACAGCATTAATTTTACAATGATGGTAATATGGATTTGATTGGACTCTTACAGTTACAACAGTACAAAGTAGGTCGCATCATTCCAACAGGGGATGACATGGTGAGCAGCAAACCAAAAGAAAATGGTCAGCAGGATCCGTCAGAGGATATGAAGAGTGGGGACCAAGGCACAACACACACCCCATTACCTAAGGTAACATAATTGCAGGTGATTAGCCATGACTTCTTATCATATCCTCTATATTGTATTTAACAGGTGCTGGAATAGCAAGAGGTAACTATAGCACATTGGCACGTTTGGTGACTTCTTTGTGAAAGCTTATACTTTACTCTTTGTTTTTGTAGTAAAGAAACTACTTAAGCTGATCACGACATTAAAATGTCCTTATATGCTCTAGAATTATATTTAATAAATGTAAGTTACAGTTTTGATTTTATTTCCAATGTGAATCTGAATATATTTGTGCACTTCAAACATTGCCCATCCTTTAGGATCTGTTTTAATGAGAATCTATATTGAAAGCAAGTTACATATTAAAGTGGATTATAATTTAATTCTAATAATATTAAGTAATAGTAACAACAACCATAATATAACCATACTAAAATAATTGTTGCCTCATGACATTCTTTGTATTAGATTTGTATTCCAATTCTTAAAACTCTGGTAATAAGTTTGTATTTAAATAAATTAAATTGGAAAATATGTTTCATTTTAACTATCTCTACTTTTAAATTTAATTCTTTTATATATAATGTTCTAAAAAATACAGGAAGCAAGTAGCTTCTGTACATTCTAAAATAAAAATATTTATTTTGAAATACATTATTCCATTTCCTAAAGGAAAAGTGGAAGTGTCTGAGAGTGAATAGACATGAAATGAGTGATGGTGATGGAATAAAATTGTATTTCAGAATAAATATTATGAAAAATGTTTTCTGCACATGTTAATCCACTTTAATTCATATTACCAGGTTAAAATATTCCTGTTGACATTTGTTGCCTAATAAAATAGCTTAATTTAATAGGTGTAAACACAGTTGAGAATTCTGCCACACATAACAGTGGGTCATGCAGCTCACTCTCCACACTAAGATATATCGAGTTGATCACCTAATAAATGTGTACTGGTACAGTAAACTAAGACTTCTCTAAAAATCTGAAATAGAATGCAAAGTAATAGATAGTTTTTGTATCAGAAGTCTGTTAGACTTTATAAATATCTGTTATCAGCTTTATATACATTATTTGAGCAGTAAACAGTAGTGAAGTACTCTGTGACGCAAATACCTTTAGGTTAATATAAGGGAATGATATACAGGAAATTCATTATGGATCAGTTATTTAATATGTAACTCTCATAAATGGTGAGTGATGAAGTGAACCCAGAAAGAAAATGTATATCTTGTAATAGAATGGTGTAGTTTATGTAAATACAGAACTTTTCTGGCAGAATGGAGAACAATATAATAGTATAGTAATCCTGAAACAGTAAACACTTTCTTCAACATTGTCTTTTCTGTTGTGTTCAAATTTGTTTCTTGAAATGGAGATTTTAAGATTGTTCTTGTTATTATTACTATTTTCAAATGCAGGCAAGTAAGTGAAGTGGCATTTAGGGTCATACATTATTTATTATTATAGCAGTATTATTGAATTGGCTGACATTTTTAATTACACAGTAGTGTTTGTTTGTTCACTTCTTTTTAACTTTGTTTTTGTTCTTGTGCGTGCCTGGGAGTGTTGTGATGAGTGTGACATTGCACCTTGTTTCATGCACGCAGCGTCTGTCTAATGGTGCCATCGAACCTGACTCTGATGTGGCACGAGTTCTTGAGCTCCAGAACACAGTAGATAAGCAGGTGAGCCCCACACAACACAATATACACTGGTAGAGACTAACTACTTTATTCCATTTATATTGCATCATATACAATATGGGGTCAACTTCAAGCAACTTTGTCACTTCTTCTTGGTTCCATGCTGTATTTGCAAATAAAATAATTTAGTTTGATGTAGTATTTTAGTTTCTAATTTTATTCTTAGAGACCATCTAACATATATTACAGAGTTTATTTTATTATTATTTTATTATTGTGCATAGTGCCTCCATACCAAAATGGCTGACCACTTTGTACTTTTTGAGAAACATAACCTGTAATCCATCTGACACATTTTATTCATATTTATGTTATTAGTCTTGTAATATGTCTGCAATTATTTGAGAGAGTGAATTATTGTGAGACACGTCTCTGTGCACTAAATTGTGTGAAAAGAAATCTGCTCATATAGACATAATAGGCAATTTTTGTGTCTTATTTAAATCTTCTCTTGTGTTTATTCCTGGTTGTTTTATTGTCAACTACAAGTTTTGAAATAGATGCAGTGCAGAAATCAGTTTCTGTATTCCAGGTAGTTGATAGTTGGCATACAGGACCTGTAATCTACCTTTCTTGTAGGATTTTTTATAACTTTTAGGATTAAAACTTGTATTGCCATTAACAGTTCCATTCTAATTCTGCAAGCAAAACTGGAAACATTATTGCAAGCAACTTGGAACATTTTATATTGTGTTAAACAGTGTGGAATTTATTTAGTCATTATAGTTTTGAATCATTCTGTACTACGTAACGCATTTTTAGTATTTATTGTTAAAATTGTTCATAACAATTATATAGAAATTAGAAGCATTGTTTTTCTATTGTGTTATTCAGATGTTTATCCTCTGTGGATTTTAAATTTTTTAATTTTTGATATAGTTTAGTCATTCTACAGACAAAATTATGCCCACTTAAATATGAATAATTTTAATCCATAAACTGAACAGCCTTAACAATTAATTGGTCATTCTTTTAACCAGTATTTAACCTATCTTTATCTTCCATACTGACTCAGTTTAAAACTCAGAACTTAAAGGCATCTGTGGATAATATGCACATGTAGAATTTATTCATAAACTGTATAAGTGTGCAAGCAATGAAACAGGTTAGATTTTTTATTTTTATTTTAGAATGTTCTCAGTATGGTGATTTGTCAATAAGTGTCATGTAATAACTGACAGTGCATTTATTGTATAGTAATGGAAGCGTTACAATTATCATGAACAAAATAATGACAACAGTGACTCAGATTATCATTAAGGGAGCCAAAATATCATGCAATATGTAGCAGAAATTGTTTTCATTGTTACTTTGCTCAGTTTTGCATCATAGATTGTAGATTGATGTACTGATCAAGGTAAAGGATAACAGGGGCAGAGAGGAGCTATGACACATAACCAAAAGTACTGCATCCCTGTAAGTGTTGTAATTGGCGAAGTTTACCTTTTGCTTGCTCTTCAGGAAAAATGTTGATTTCATTAATATTGTATTTCCTCCTAATAATGTCAGTTTCAGGGTGCAGTAGTAAATTGCTTTATTGATATTTTTTTTATTTGAGCTTTACTTATAAACATATACCACATACATATGATAAATGAGCCAATAATATTTGCTTGCGATCCTTTGATCTAAAGTGTCCAAATATATTGTAATTATAGTAGTTGCATTTTAAAGATTATACCGAGCAGGAGGTTTATCGTGTCCTCAAGTTCTGAAACTATAATACTTCCGTGACAGCATGGTGCTCAGGGACACGATAAATCTACTGCCCCGTGGCATAATGGTGTTTTGAAGTAAGTATTTCTAACTTGTATTTGCTCACACGTGTGTTCGTCTTGGAACATCAAATTATATTTTGAAATGATAACAATTAATGTGATATGTGCTAAATGTAGCATGTTGCAGTATAATGAGAGTATTAATTTATATTATTTTAGATATTGATTTCATAAGAATGATCTCCAGTAGAAGTAAACAAAATGTACATGTTATTTGCATTTTTTTGTCTTTTAATTTTTATGTAGCTCTCATTTGATTGATTCTGTTTTAGACAAAATAGCAGTGACTGTTTTGTTAGTTATGTACCATGAAATAAGATCACAAAGAATGCATGTACTTTTTTTTTCAAAGTGGACATAAAGACTTATGTGAAACATTAAATCAAATTAAAATAAAATTAAAGTGTCTAAGAATTTGCTGTTGTTTGAGTAGGATAGTATAAATGTTTTCTTATCAATAGATTAAGACATGAGTTTTCCGTAGCTACCAGTTTGAGGTTAGGTTAATATAAGAGAAAATTAAATATAAACAAAATCAGAGCCTGTGGAAATTTTCTATTTTCTGAATAATGTTTAGTGTGTGTTTTTTTTAATGAAGGTTGACACAGATTTTTTGTAATTTTCATTCCTATGTTATATTAATTTCAATGGTAACAGTGCAGTACACTGAAACAAAAATAGCCTGCAAAAGTGTAATGCAACTTCAAAACAGTAGATAATTAAATTTAGGATTTATACTCATTTTTCTAGCATTAATTGATACAAAGTACCTAATCCTGAAAGTGTTCTTTTAGATTACTTCGGGTACTTGCATCCACTGGTTATGGTAAAAGTAGGATTCTGAGGTGCAGGTTGATTGAATATGGTCTCATATGGTTTGTGTCACAAGGAAGATGAGATGAGACATATTAAAAACACTCTGAACTTAAGAATAGGAATGTTAATATAAATAACATTCTAAGTACTGTAGTCTTGTGCTTATTAAATTTTAATTTTGGTGTGAATCATTGCGTCCATTCTGTGTACTGGCAGTCATTATTATGCATGCTAACGTTTATTGAATTTTGCCTTTGTTTGTAAGATGATGGAGTATTGCAGGTCTTTTATATAATTAATAGTTATCTTATTATCCTGTTTATATGAATATTTTCTGTATGTCTGTTTACACATTCTTATCCAGGTGCCTGAAAAGTCTCGGCAGTTGTGCGGAACTGTTCAGGTGCTTAGAAAAGAAATATGTAAATTGGAACTGAAGTCAAATATTTGAAAGTTTACCTTGGCACCAGCTTCCATCCTGCATGGATAATTATCTTTCAGCCAATTTACATCCCAAGGAAGGAGGTATTTCAAAGTATTTCATTTAAGGGGCATACATAAATTCCAAGACCTAGTTGTATTTTGTATCTTGTACACATACTACAAGAGCTTTACACCACTGTTTCTCTATGTAATTACTCTCCAGTTCATGCATTTTTCCCATTGCTGTACAGGCTTCATAAACCCAGCTTCACAGAAGTTTCTCAAGACTTCTGCAGTTATTAGGACATGATGCTGGACTTCCTCATTATATTTGAACTTCTGATGCACCATCAACTTCTATAGTAGCTCAAAGAGGTTGATATATTTGGGAGTCAAGTCTGTCTCGAATATAGGAGGGTAATGTAGAAACTTTCCAGCCAATTTGAGTGCTTGCTGTTAACTTAGTATATTTCACTGGTTCCCAGTTCCAGATTTACAAAAAACTAGGCCCTGTACCTTCACAATACTTCCTAATGAGTATGAAGAATTTTGTTTATTATATTCAGTGGTTTTATAATAATTAGACATTTTAGTCATATTTTACATGTTTTATACAAAATATGCCTTGCATTTTGTTTTTAATTTTCAGCTATTAAGATGAAAACTTTTATGTGCCTAACAGGATCCGTATGTAACAATGTTGATTATGGTCTGTTGAGCTGTGACACACTGTATTCTTGTTGGTGGTTATCAGTGTTCCAAAATGTTAGTAAACACCTACGAAGCTACGCGATGTCACAACCCAGAAGACCAGAGTCTGCATCTTCATTGTTATATCGTTTATAGTAAATTTATTTTTTCTCTTCATTTATACAAAACTGCCATCAATGTTGCTGGACCAATGTTTTTAATGTGGTGGATAATCAAATTGATGGTGGACCTTCTTACTGTCTGATCAGACATGACACTTTATTTGAACTGATGATTTTCTTTGTGAAGTTTTTAAGTAAAAATTATTTGTGTGTTATGTTACATGTCTCTGTCTTACTTAGTTTTATAAGTTTTAATCAGCACTGTGTAATTTTTTTGTCTGTTGAAAGGTGTTATTGAAATATTAAGTTCAGGAAATGAATTTGTCTTAAGGAAATATGTTACACAAAATATCTGTAGTTAGAAAACATTAAAAGTACCAGTAATAATACAGATCGCCTAACACAAAAAATCTCCCAATTTAAGTTTTCACTGTTCAGAAATAGAGGCCTAGCCATGCAGTACTGCAGTTTGGCCCAATCCAAACTGACCGCTTTGATTTTGCAATATTTTATATATAACTATAAATTATATTTTTATATCAGTTAATATGTCTCATTATTAAGACTTGTTCCCTTATGAGAGCATATTATATCTACCTTGAATTGTGAATTCATCTCCTGTTACAGTTAATATTGTTCAAATTAAATGGACAAACTTTCTGAAGAAATGCTATACATCTGTGCAGGCTACAGAGCTGAGTACATGGCAGAGGCGAGTATCAGAGCTATCGGGTAGAATCTCAGAGTTAGAGGAAGCTCTTGCCAAGACTCAGAAAGAGCTGCTCAAGGCACAGGAAGCCAACGCAAAACTGCAGCGGGATCTGCGTGAGAACGTGGCGCAGAAGGAGGACCAGGTGGGCTATTCAACTTATTGTTTCTATGTTACATATTTTTTTATATACTTTGAATAGGTGTGGAGTATAAAATGTGTAACTCTGATGCACACCTATTATTTCAAGTTCATCATCCTAGTAAAAATCAGATTTTGTAAACAACACTCATCCTTTTTGAAAACATAAAATCACAGTGATCCAAGTTAGATGGTCAGGAATGGCTCCAAACTGCTTACCATCTGTTGGCAAAACTCCATATCCTCATTTCTTTTGCAATACCAGAATCCAGAGACTTTGGGTAGCACCTTGTAGAGATATTGATTTTCAGTCTGTGTTACTGTTCTAATGTCAACGTAAGTTTTACTAATATTGTTATGCAGGAATAGTTACGTGTTACTTTACATATTTTTATTCTTCATAAAGTGGTTGTTTTGTGTCTTCCCCTCTCCCACTTTTTTAAATTACTCATTTATCCTAAGATAAAGCTTTTATTAGTGTTATCTCTTATAAAACGTTTTTGTGATTTTCATTAATAATTAAATATCCATTCTGTTATTGAAATTGTTTGAGGTTTGAAAAGTATTTAACCTTTGTTGTTGGCCTTCCGGATTGTAATGCCTTGTGGACTTGTAGGTAGATACCATATCATTTGGTACTGTGTTAAAAGCATCATTAAGCAAACCATAAGCAAACATATTAATTAACAATACTCCGCAAGGAGCCCCAAAATTTATTTAACATAAAAGTTTGCATAAAATATTTTCACCTGTAAATTAATTAGTTTTCAGTTAAATTAAGCTTACATTGTTCATACTAAATAATCCTCCAGAGAACCTTAGAAAGTGATTTGGAGACAGCTATAAGAAGGTTCAGAAGTTGGTTTATTAATTGCCAGAATGTCTCGGTATTAATAAATTCAAATTGAGAAATATCAAACAAGGGCTTTGTAATTCTAGTAATATTTGAACCTTATAAATTTGAAGTGCAACTGTCATGTTGAAGTGTTCGTGAATTTTGTATGAGTGTACAGGTTATGTTATGTTTACATTACAAGAATAAAATGTTTTTATATGACCTTCTTTCCTACTTTTATAATGACAATCTTCATTATTTATTGAGTATGTGTAGATATTTGTTTGTTTCTGTAGGAGGAACGTATTGCTACACTTGAGAAGAGGTACCTGAATGCCCAGCGTGAGTCAACGTCTCTTCATGATCTAAATGAGAAATTGGAGCAGGAACTCCAACACAAAGAGGCACAACTCAAGGTAGACACATGGATGTTCAACATTCTTTCACAAAACACTAGACTGAAATTCTGCTGGCTGTAACAAATACAATGATATTGTTGTCTTGCAAGTAAGAGTGAATTTATGGGAACATATCTTCCCAAGGAGAGGTACAAACAAACTTTAAGCTTCGGAAACACAAGTTTCAAACGATGCGGACTGCAGTGCTAAACTGACATGATTCTTGGGGTTCTGTAAAAGGTGGAGAATTTCTTGACCAGCTGCGCAGCAGTCAGCTCCATAAGAAGGACTGTACTCCATGGAGTTAGATGGATTTTTAAGTGTTGAATTCGGGTAGTTCCCATCATATCTATGGAGAGGATGCCAGATTAGAAGGGGAGGAGTACTTATGCTTGGAGAACCTGTAGTTGATTGACCTGTTAACAGCTGCAGGAGGAGAAGATCCGAGCAATCCAGGAGAAGCTAGAACTCTCTGAACAGAAGTTGGCTCAATTTGCTAAACTTCCAGAAATGGAGGAAGAGCTGAAGCAGAGGATGGAGGCCCTTACGCAGGTGAGGGTGCAGGTACGCTACAGTGATGTCACAAATCGGTGTCGTCTGTCTTTGTATTTCTCTCCCTGTAGAGCATGATCTAACAGACTTCAGAATTTTAAAATATTCTGTATAAGATTTGCCTCCGTCATCAGAGTGATGTTTGACCTCTGAAACGTTGGTAAACATCGACCAGACTACACAGCGCAACAACCCAGAAGACAGAACTCTTAAAATATTCTATCTTAATGCCTTCAGGTTCAATTTTGTACAAGCAAATTTGGAATGTATTCCAAAGCAAAACATTTTTACTGTGTCGTAAAAATTATAAAAGTATTGCTATTTCACAAGTCATTAAAATATTTCTTTGTTATTACTGTTTTTCTGAAACAGGAATTGTTTGTTACCAGAGTTGTGACACGCGTGCTTAGGTTTTGTACTCACAGTAACTTATGCAATGGTTAATTTCACTTATGCTATCGATATGCTCCATTATTCGTTCAGAATTTTTATTCCTCATATTGTTTGTTATATAATGGAAACTGTTATTCTAAGTAGATAGTTTTATAACTTTACAAAAATAACATTCTGTTAATATTTCTTGCATGAGTTAAATTTGTTGAGTTATTAAAGTTAATGTGACATTTTTGTGCATGGCATTAAAATTCATGTTGATGTTCTGAACATTAGTAGATTTTGTAAATAATTTGTTTTATCAGTTACATCTTAACAGTGTATGCTGGTTAAGCAAGTAAACATAAGGAAATATGCTTATTGGATTTTGGTGTGTTTGCTCTGTTATTTCCTCTAGATTCTAAGTTTATGAATGTTTACTTTTGATGCTGTCTGATAAATAGTGTGCAAAAGCTGGATGCCTTGTTTTTTGTTTGTTATGGTTCATTCCCCTGTGTGTTTAAGTTTTTCCATTGCTGAGTGGAGATCTAAATATGTTGTGTACAAGTACCAGGCGGTATTTCAATACAGAGTGAATTAAACTAATAATTTCTCAGCCTGGATGCAAAAGAGAGGTGTTGTCCTACTTGAAAATCTTGTTGAAATTTAGACTTGTTCTTTTTCATTTATATTAATTTGAAAATGAGAATGATATGCATAAGCACATAACTGAAGTAGGCTTGAAATTATACTTAAACTGCTATCTGCAGCTGACATTAAGTAAAGAAGATTATATGAATTGCATGCAGTAGTATTGATTACTGAACATTTCCTTTGTGTAGAGGAAGTTCTGTAGTTTATGTAACTTATCCTATGTTCTGTAAAGAACAATCATACTTTGTTTGGCTCCTGTGAATTCTGTACTTCCAAGTCTTTTGTAAGTTGCTAAGAGTTTGGGTGGACCTGTGATGTGACAGGCGCAAGAGCGACATGGCTCAGCTGAGGACCGCATCTTAAGGCTAGAAGCTCAGTTGGAAGAGAAGAATGCAGAATTGATGCGACTGAATCAGAGGCTCAAGATGAATGAGGAACACAACACAAGGCTGTCCTCCACTGTTGACAAACTGCTATCAGGTTAGGCACTCTTCACCACAAATCTTCCCCTTCATTGTAAATACATAAACTACTCATTTTATGAAATAGAAGTTTTCCTTGAAAGTTGTGACTTGAACAAAATTTGATATTAATTTTGCATAAGTTTGGTGATATTAACTAGAGCTTCAGTGACCTAAGATAATATGTCCATAAACAGGGTTTCTATAAAATAATGGGAGTATTTTGACTTCAAATGCTTATTGAATGTAATACAATAGAACATAAAACAAGTTGTGACTTGCTGATAAC